AGACCTTCATGAGCTGATTTAATTTATTGACATGGCAGAAATCACAACAGGAAAAGGAGGCTCGGTATTTGTTTTGTGTTTTTTTGGTGTTGCTTTATCACTCAGTTAAAGCATCTCTGTGAAGAGTCTGGCAAGCACCAGGGCAGAAAAAAGGGCATGGATGAGACCATGTGGCCGCCAGACAGAAATGGGAGATGGATGTCAGAGGAAATGTTAACTGCAGGTGGCATCAGGACATCTATAAAAACCAGACAAAACAAAAAACAAACAGACAAACAAATAAGAAAGACCCCAAACCCAATCAAACATAATACAGAGATGTTGTCTGGGAAGCTAGGGACCAGGTTAGGAAAGCTAAGGCCCAGTTACAATTAAACTTGGCTAGGGGTGTGAAACATAAAAGGAAGGGGTTCTGTACGTACATTGCAAATAAAAAACAGACTAGGAACAACTTGGGCCCTCTCCGGAAGCTATCAGGAGAACTGCCTATCCTGGATTTGGAGAGGGCTGAGGTTCTGAATGACTTCTTTGCCTGAGTCTTCACTGAATGCTCTTGAACATGCTCTTGAACTGCCTCCCAGTCTTGGAAGGCAGACGCAGGGACCGTGAGAATGAAGACCCCGGGCCCACTGTAGGAAAGGATCTGGTTCGAGACCATCTTAAGAACCTGAACGTGCACAAGTCCATGGGACCTGATGAAATCCATCTGTGGGTCCTGAAGGAGCTGGCAAATGAAGTTGATAAGCCACTGTCCATCATATTTGAAAAATCATGGCAGTCATGGCAATCATGGTGAAGTTCCCGATGACTGGAAAAAGGGAAATATAACCCCCATTTTCAAGAAGGGGAAAATGGATGACCCGGGGAATTGCAGACCAGTCAGCCTCACCTCTGTGCCTGCCAAAATCTTTGAGCAGATTCTCCTGGAAGGCATGCTAAGGCACATGAAAATCAACAAGGTGCTTGGTGACAGCCAGCATGGCTTCACTGAGGGGAAATCCTTCCTGACCCATTTGGTGGCCTTCTATGATGGGGCTACGGAACTGATGGACAGGAGTAGAGCAGTTGATGTCGTCTACCTGGACTTGTGCAAAGCGTTCGACACTGTCCCACACAACATCCTTGTCTCTAAATTGGAGAGACATCAATTTGATAGGTGGAGCACTCGCTGGATAAAGAACTGGCTGGATGGTCGCACACAAGGAGTTGTGGTCAATGGCTCAGTGTCCAGCTGGAGACCAGTAACGAGTGGTTTCCCACAGGGATGGGTGTTGGGACCGGTCTTGTTCAACATCTTTGTCGGTGACATGGACAATGGGATTGAGTGCACCCTCAGCAAGTTTGCCGATGACACCAAGCTGTGTGGTTCGGTTGATATGCTGGAGGGAAGGAATGCCATCCAGAAGGACCTTGACACGCTGGTGAGGTGGGCTAATGCCAACCTTATGAAGTTCTATGATTCCATGATTCTATGATTCTAACTTCAATTCTACCGAAGTGCCATGACTTAGTGTTTCTTAGTGGCCAGTTTCCTGCAAGCTTGTCAATTAGAATCAATGGAAAAGAACAGACAAAGGAGCATAATGAAATTTTGACCAACAATATGTTGCTAGTAATACAAAGATCATGGTTTTATAATATCTTGCTTCACATATTGTCAGGGTAGGTAGTAGATCAAGCCAGAAGACCTTATATTCATTTGGTGTAGATGTATCAGTCTCTATAATAAAGCCCTTTGATTGTTTGTTTGTTTTCCAGGTTAATCTCTGGGTTTGGTAGTTTTCTGGGTGGTTGTTTACAAATCCACTTGTGTTGCGATGCTCTTTTATCTGATGTAAAGTGTATCCTTGGCAGCACCTCCACAGGAGTTTCACTTTGAAAAACCAGAAGTGAAAAACATAAAATGAACACATCTGTATTAGCTTAATAGTTTTCTTTAATCTTCTAAGAACTAGCCCAGAATGATACAGAGAGGAATTAAAAATGTTCTATACATCTGCTTGCTTTTTATGTCTGTAAATCTGTCTAAACTTCCTGTTCAAAGGTTTTATTTTTAGCAATGGAAGCTGGAAAAGAAAGGTTAGCAGCCAAAAGGAAAGAACAAAATCTCTTCAAGTGGACCAGCAGTAGAAAACACAATACATTGAAATGCTATCACAACCAGGCATAACTTCACAGATGAGACCCACACAGACATCTGCTGCTGGATTTACTCATGTGTCAGTTACATGTTGCATGGGAGATACAGGATGTTATAGAGCAGAAATATAATAGTCTTACAATGAGCTTAGAAACTCCAGGTGTTAGTGACACAAACAGCAGAAAGTCAGCAGAAGCAGAACATTTTCAGAAGTTGCCCTGTCTTTTCAGCTGCATCTCTTTAGTGGTGGTGACAGATGCAGTCTTCACAGGAACTGTACCAGCCTACAGAAATCTTCATGATGAGGAATCATCTTCCTCTTCCACTAAAGGTACAGAGATATCCTGTTCTCTGCCTGTACAGCTGGTAACAAACACCTGCAGCCCATGGGTTAGGTGCCTTGGCAGTGCTGCATACTCCCACCAAACCAGTATTTCCTAGGATGGAACAGTATTTCCCAGGACTGAACAGACAGCACTGCAGAGGAAGCAGTCTCCTTCTAGCATTGATGGGAATGAGATTCTCTGAGAATTCTCTCAGCTTACTTACGCACTATGGTGAAAATGTTAAAAATTAAGTATGTAGACAAATACAAATGGAAGAAATGGAATATTTAAAACAGTCTTTCCTTGCTCAGTGAGATACAACACATTATTCAGTGAGATACTCCCCTTTAAGGAATGAAAATGCAGTTCTCATTTCATGCCTGCCTTTTTCTTATTCAAAGCACTTTTACTTCTTTCCTCTTATTGTTCAATTTAATTCACCATCTGTTCACTCAGGACTTGGTATTTTCAACTGAAATACTGAAAAGAAGACCACATTAATCAAGCTTTAGTACTTTGGAAGCAAGTAACATCTAGGAGAAACAGACATATAAATCATAAAACCTAATTACTCATCACATTCTTCTTTAGCACTGCCTGTAGGAATGCATGTGCTTCACAGGTTGCTACATTATCCTCAGGTTTAAGGACTCTGGCTGAAGAGATAGGAGAACTAGATTTTTTTCTTCATGATATTAAGAGGACTCAGGTGTAACTCCTGTTTACAGCTAATATGCTGAAATGAGAATTGGAGCTGTGTCAGCACATTTGCAAAAAATCAAAGTGAGGTTAATAAATACACCCAGAGAATAGCAAAATAAGGTCATAAAAGACACCATTAGAAGTCAAGCTGTCAGACAAAAAAAAAAAAAAGCTTATTTGTGCAAGCATTGAGACAATAGAGTGATTTAGTGTCAAAAAAGGGGCATTTTAAGATAAAACAATTGGTCAGAATAGGTAATGAGAAGTACTAAACTGCTGTTAAAAGAGATGTTTGCTTCATGAGCAATTGTTTTTCACTCCAATTAGCTCAAGCATAATTTTTCTTACTCTAGTTTTTTGCTTGTCACCAAGCAGTTCAGAATTTTTTCCTGTAAAATATCTACCCTTAAAATTTTTATTCTGCACTTTTAATAGATTTCTGTAAACAGTTCTCCAATGTTTATCTAGTTTTCATTTAAATTTAATATTCTTTTTTCCTTGTATATTTTGTCTTTACTTAAGATGTTCTGCCTTTCTGGGGACACTTCCAACCTTTCCTGCTGAAGGTGTCCTTCTCTCTAACAGTACAGCCAGTTGGGTATTCATACTGCAGAGCAAAAGTCACCTGTCTGAAGGACTTTGTTGAAGGATTGCAAAACCAGCAAACAAAAAGTTCAGTTATGTGGTACATCCAAGATCTTTCCTCAAACATTTTAAGAACTCTATAATATATCAATATTGTGATGCAAAAAAGAGGTTGTATTGTAGGTAAGAGTTTTAGTTGTGTAGCAAGAGAATATATAAAGAAAATATCATTTGCAATCCAGCATGCCTGTATTTTCACTGGAACAGATTTGAAATTTATGAAAAATTGCAGTTTTGCTTACCTTTACACAGCTTTCAACATCTGCAGACTTGGCCATGTGAGAAGTCGACTTTATGTTCACCACATCCTGAGTGCCCTTCATGCCCTGAATCTTATTCTCTCTGAGTTTTTCTGCTGCCTCCATTACAACCAGAACAGCTTTATATGAGTTTATGTGGCATGCTCAGTTCTCACCAGCTCAGGCACAGAGGTCAGAAGAGAAAAAAGTTGTTTGACTCTAGACAGTGGTGATTCTGTATTTACCAACTTAAAAAATCTTTAAGTACAGTCCTTGTGAACAGTTGGGTTCCTCTCCTTGGTCCAAAGCTTGTGACCTCTATGATCTCACTCTGATTTCAAGTGTACCAGAGTTCAATTAATTTCTGTGGACTTACTCCAAATTTATGTTACTGTAGGAGAGTAATTGGGTTTAATGTCTGTCATCAGGACTGATCTTGGGTATTCCATCCATTGTAAATACAATTACAGGAAACAAATTTAATAAGTCAGACTTGCTGATAGGTTGCTACAGTCTCCTTGCATTTAAGTAAAACATGTAATTTGAGAGTTTATTTCAAACATACCATCATTTGCATAATAAACCCTTTAGTTTCTAGTGCCTAACTAGAGTTCATGACTCACTGTATGTGCTGGCTGCCCAAGTATTTGCCTTTTATTCATACCCATTATAGAACCATAGAATGGTTTGGGTTGGAAAGGACCTTAACATCACTTAGTTCCAACCCCCCTGCCATGGGCAGGGATGCCTCACCGTGACCATGTCACTGAAGGCTCTGTCCAAACTGGCCTTGAACACTGCCACAGATGGAGCATTTACTATCACTTTAGGCAACCTATGCCAGTGCCTCACCACCCTCACAGTGAAGAACTTCTTCCTTGTTATGTAACCTAAACTTCCCCTGTTTAATTTTAAACAGAAATGATGAATTCTTCTGTTCTAATCGGAAATCCTATCCGAGCATATACTCCTCCCCCTCCTCCTCTGGGACCTCACCCCAATCTGAGGAAATCTCCACGTCCTGTTCAAAGGATAGATCCACACACTGGGACAAGTATTCTATATGTACCTGCTGTCTATGGAGGAAATATGGTCATGTCTGTGCTTTTGCCTGTACCATGGACGGGGTATCAGGGTAGGTTTGCAGTTGACCCTCGAATCATTACTCATCAAGCAGCTATGGCATATAATATGAACCTGTTACAGGCACATGGGCATGGGTCTCCTATACCTTATGGCCTGGGACATCATTCACCAGTTAACATAGGACAGCAGCAACAGCTTCAGCATCAAGACAAGGAGCAACATGAACAAAATCGAAACGGTAAAAGTGAAAACACTGCTGGACCTGAAATCACTAAAATTCGAACACCTGAGAAGAAACCTGTAGAATCCAAGCAGGCTGACTTAGAAGCAAATTCTCAGAATAGAAGCCCCGAGTCCCGTTCCAGTGTTGGTTATCCTAATGCTAAATTTCATCGCAAAGAGAACCTTAACCCCAGGCAGCTGAACCTCCATCTCACCCCACCCCACTCACAGTACGCAGTTCCCAATCGCCACTTCCAGCACCTGGCACAGATCCCAAGGCAGCCATATCCTCTGCAGCAACAGCAAAATCTTTTAAGTCAACAACAAAGTCATTTGCCTGAGCAACAAAACCAAATGCCACCCCAGCAAAGCCAGGTAGTTCAGCAGCATAATCATTTGAATCAGCAGCCTCCACAACCTTCGCAGCTTTCCCCTGCTCACCAGGCAGGCCCCAGCCAATCTTTTTTTAATAATCCCATTCCTCACCGACCACATTCTCCTGCTGTAGATGCTGTGATTTCAGAACAACACCCCCCACCTATGTTACAAGAAGTCAGTAGTCCTTTGAGGCCTATTGCCCAGCACAACCCTGTTCTGCCAACCCACTGGAACAACTTCATTGAAGAGAATCCATCAGGAATGCCCTTAGGGGACACTTTAGATCGTATGCATGGAAATGTAGCTTTGGAAACAATAAGGCAGCAACAACAAGCCAGGTTACAGCAATGGAATGAACATAATGCCTATCTCAGTCAAGGCACTATTCCATATCAACACCATCACCATCCTCATCTACCACATCTTCCTCAGCAGCCAATTGGATTGCATCAACAGCAGCAAGTTAGGGCAAACTGGAAACTTGCCAGTAATACAGAAGATGAAACAGAGGCAACATATTCAAGATTCCAGGATTTGCTCAGAGAACTGTCACACTGTGATCAAAGCGAAAGTCGGGACTTAGCTGAAATGCCACCCCCTCAGTCAAGACTGTTGCAATACAGACAAGTTCAGCCCAGAAGCCCACCAGCACTCCCTTCTCCTTCCTGCAACTCTAACCACAGTGGTCACTTCCCTAACTTCACTGAAAACAGCAGAGACATTGAAATACCCAGTAACCCAGCATTTCAGCAGCATTTACCCCAAATATACAATCCCCCTTTCTCAATGCCATCTGAACATATAACCCCGTCTCCCTTGAAATACCTGCAACCTGATGGATCGTGGACTTATGCTAACCTACAGCAGAATCACCTTATGGGGCAGGGCTTTCATTATGGTATACCTCCATTGCCCCATAGGTCGCAACAAAACCCTTTTATACAGATACAGGATCATCAGCAGAGTATGAACCAAGAGGACCAGGCAGGCCGTTGTACCAAAGAAGAATTTCCTCTAGTTCAGTCCAGGCTTGTTCTGAAGAATTAAGCACTCCTCAAGACAGTCTTGGTCAGTGTAAAGAGCTTCAGGACCACAGTAACCAGTCATCTTTCAACTATTCATCACCTGAGTTGTGGGTAAGCTCCTCCTCATCTGCCCCATACCCAAACATTCCATGCAATGGAGCCAACAGAGCAGTTCCACCCCGGGAGCTGTTAGCTCCACCGAAGACGGTCAAGCCCCCAGAGGAACCACCTGAAGGCCGAGAACATCCAGCTATCCAACTCCTTCAACTACAGCGTGCTGCAACATCTCGGCCAGTTCCCACCTCTCATGCCCAACAAGCAGATCGTCGAGTCGAACAGCAACAGCCAGCAGAACGCTGGTGGGAGCAAGCCGGTCATGTCCTACGCAAGTGCTCTGCGGGCTCCACCAAAGCCCAAACCTCCTCCTGAGCAGACAAAAAAGAATAGCGACCCTTTGTCTTTGTTTCAGGAACTTAGCCTAGGTAGTTCATCAGGTAGCAATGGCTTTTACTCCTATTTTAAATAACCAGATTATTTTTTTTAGAGAGAATTTAATTTTTATTTGTGTCCGTAGATCTAAGATAGTTGGGGCTTCACCTGTAGTTGCAACTATTCCCTTTGTTTATATTAGTAACTATAGCCTCACTTAATTGCTTCGCTGCTAGACTTGCAACTAATTTGGGTTTGTTTTTTTTTCGTTGTTTTTTTAATTATATTCCATTATTTTGCATTGTTTTGGAGGCGGGTCGGGGTTGGGTTTTTTTTTGGAAGCTTTTCTGTAGGAAAACACCTGTTATTTTTTAAGTTGTGTAACGTTACTGATCTGTTGCATTAAACTAGCAGCTGAGAGGTTCTTACCTGTCCAACAGAAAAAGAAAACAAAAAAAGAAAAAAAAAAGGCAAAAAAAGGCAAAAAGACAAAAAAAAAGTTTGTCTAAATTGTATTTAAGAATTTTTTTTTTTTTTTAATAAAAAAATAGGCCTGTAACTAGTGGAGTGCCTCAAGGGTCAGTACTGGGACCGGTATTATTTAATATATTCATCAACGATTTAGATGAGGGAATTGAGTGTACTATCAGCAAGTTTGCTGATGACACTAAGCTGGGAGGAGTGGCTGACACGCCAGAAGGCTGTGCTGCCATCCAGCGAGACCTGGGCAGGCTGGAGAGTTGGGCAGGGAATAACTTGATGAAATATAACAAGGGAAAGTGTAGAGTCCTGCATCTGGGCAGGACCAACCCCAGGTTCCAGTATAGGTTGGGGAACGACCTGTTAGAGAGCAGTGTAGGGGAGAGGGACCTGGGGGTCCTAGTGGACGACAGGATGACCATGAGCCAACACTGTGCCCTTGTGGCCAAGAAGGCCAATGGCATCCTGGGGTGTATTAGAAGAGCGGTGGTTAGTAGGTCGAGAGAGGTCCTCCTTCCCCTCTCCTCTGCCCTGGTGAGACCCCATCTGGAATATTGTGTCCAGTTCTGGGCCCCTCAGTTCAAGAAGGACAGGGAGCTGCTGGAGAGAGTCCAGCGCAGGGCAACGAAGATGATTAAGGGAGTGGAGCATCTCCCTTATGAGGAAAGACTGAGGGAGCTGGGTCTCTATAGTTTGGAGAAGAGGAGACTGAGGGGTGACCTTATAAGTGTCTATAAATATATAAAGGGGGAGTGTCACGAGGATGGAGCCAGGCTCTACTCAGTGGCAAACAATGATAGGACAAGGGGTAATGGGTACAAACTGGAACACAAGAGGTTCCACTTAAACTTGAGAAGAAACTTCTTCTCAGTGAGGGTGACGGAACACTGGAACAGGCTGCCCAGGGAGGTTGTGGAGTCTCCTTCCCTGGAGACATTCAAAACCCGCCTGGACACATTCCTGTGTAACATTATCTAGGTGTTCCTGCTTCAGCAGGGGGATTGAACTAGATGATCTTTTGAGGTCCCTTCCAATCTCTATCATACTGTGATGCTGTGATAATTATAAATTATTCTAAATTATCAGAAAATTCTAACTATTTCTCAATTTACACCTGCCAAGCAACAACTTCAAACTGTGTATATTTTAGAACAAATCAAAAGCTGTATTGTGCACACAGGATCTTCAGGGATCCTCTGTGGCAGAATTACTTTGGCACCACATTTAAATTTTGCAATGGTTAATGCGGAAAGAAGTGTTAAAAGATACACAGTAGTTTTCCTGTATGGGTGCTCAGGACTTCTCAACCAAAGCTAGGCTGTGTAGAAACCTCAGGCACGCAAAGGTCTCTTCTGGGCTGAGGCTTTTTGCAACATGACACAATGTAATGTGACAGATTCATCTTTATGGGAGATGCTGGCTATGACGGGAGGTGTGTAATAAGTTTATGTCTTCAGAAGCCAAGTGTGGGCAATTTGATATGGAAAAGAAAAAAAGGTCCATCTTTCTGATGCAGTCAGAAACAGTCTTACTCAGACCAGATATAAGCCATGAATCCCACAGACCAGTTATGTATTTGGCACTCATCAAGGGGTTAATTTATTTAAAAAAGGCTAGTCCCACTAGTTGCTAGGTAACAGTGTAGTTCCCTCAGGCTTGTGATCAGCAAATGAACTTTTCTGGTGATATACTGCTGATAACTGTTTATCTTTCTGCTGGCGCCAGTATAAGGGATGATTTTTCTCTGAAACTCCATGTAACAGGATTAGTTTTATTTGAATAGTTTACTCATATAATTATATTTGACCCTAGTGTAATTTGCAGTGTATTAATAAAAAGCTCATTTTCATAACTTATTCTGCATGCAAATATAGTTTTCCACTATTCAATCTTAGAATAAACACTTGCAGGTTTAAACTGCTGTGAAAGCTTAAGCTTTAAATTTCTGCTCCTTCTACATGTGAAATTTGTATGTAAAATTTGGTCAGTTTGTTCTCTAATTAGCTTCCTAGCCAAGGCAAGTAAAGAAAATAAGGAAGCGGGTTACAGGGGAAATTATATGACAAAGAGAGAAAGCATAGCTGTAGTCTACGGGTTTAATTTTCTTTGCAGCAGGCACTGCGCCAAGCACAGGTTTGAAGGCTTCACGCTAGGGTCCTTCTTCTTACCAAGTTGTGCAGATGAATTTCCACTACAGTCAAGGGACAATTAAGGAAGGTGTACAGCCCCATCCTCATAGACAGCATGAGGGATGGAAGCCTAGCAACAGAGTCTGTAAAAGCAGAAAGCAAAATTCTGTATCATACGATATTTTCTAACAGTATGGCATTAGGAAGAGTTCATCCTGTCTGTATTTATGGTGTCTTTCATACTTGCTCATTCTCATAATACCTCTAATTGGCCACTATTTGAATGAGAGAAAACAATGTTGGGCCAAGCCATGAATTTTCACATCTCCAAAGAGATAAAACTACTGGCCTGCTTATATTGAGGCTATCTTCCTGCCCTGCAAGCTCGTGGTGTTGTGCAATATAATGCAAATTTGTGCGGCCCTACTGTCTCATGAAATGAATTCTTCTTGGAAAAAAATAACTGTCTAAATACTAACAACAGTTTCATTGCAAGTTGGTGCTGTGAGGATGCCTTAATATTTTGTGTGTTATTGGCAAAATCCAGTGCTTCATGGGAAAAAAATGCCTGTCAGTTTTGTGTGAGAATTATTGCCTCTCTTGAAATACAAATCTCACTCTCTTAAAAAAAGCTACTGTCACCTCAAACAAAATGCTATTCTTTGAACAGACACTGTTTGTGAAATAGTAGGCTTACCCTATTACCATAAATGAGAGTGAAAAGCAGTTCTAGAAGCAGTTTGAGGCTTTGGTGGTGTTGTGGGTCTCTCTGTTAATAGGTTACTTCTGCACTGTACAGGGTATGATGGGTCTTGTGTTCCTCTGCAGCTGGTATCCAATTACAGGATGAATCAAGGTGACATATATGCTATGTGTTGAGGCTGCAAATAAGACTGTGCTGAGATTAGAAGTTCAATGAGAAAGTCTGTAACAAGGTTATTATATGATGTACAATATGATTGTAATGGAGTAATTAATCTATAAGAATTTTTATCTAATGAAGGAGGAAAATTATTCTAACTAGAAAGAGGGTATATTTAAAATTCTTTTGTGAGTTTGGATACAGACAGACGTTTCAGAAGACACCTGAATTCATTTTATCCCACAAGTGTGTACATGAACGAAGGAGAAAAGCCCCTTGAGCTATTGAACAGTAATAGCAATCGAAAAGTTTTTAAATAAAGGTTTAGGTCATGTTGAGACAATTATTCTACCAGCAAAAGGATTTTCCTGATTTGAGGTTAAACTGGCAAGAAAGCTCAGTAGTTGCCCTGAGGGGGAATGCTGACCATCCAAAATAATTTCCTAGAACTCTGGAGAACACATACCCAAGGATAATACTTGAGAAAATCTGGAGACTACAGGTGATGAGAAGAATGACTTCTAAGAATATTTTTTAACTGATGAAAAATACACATTTATTGTTAGGGTTTAATGGCAGGGCACTTCATTCTTCCACCATTTGATAAAAAGCTGGAAAACTTCTAAACTGAAATAATGGAACCTTACTTAAAAGCTGGTTGCAAACCTTAGGTCTTGTTTCTGTGGGAATTCCATGGTCTGAAAATTTACTTTCATCTAACTGAATGAAGTCCAGGATTTTAACTTCCTCTTAAGACCTAGTTTTTATACAAATAATTGAAGAACTACTCATTTTGATGTAAGCCCAACATTTTGTTTCATATTACAACAACGAGCATATTTGGGGATATTGGTGGACTAGTGTTTTCTGAGAAATACGAATCATTGTAAACACACCAACTTTTGAAGTAACTGGCTCTCTAATAAACACCACATCTGCATAACCTGTAAAATACACTTGGGCAAGTTCCTTTCATGTTTGTATCAGCTGCTGCTCTGGTTGTTTCATCCAAAGTACAAAAGACTGGGTCATGAGGTAAAAGCAGATGTTCGATGTATCACCACTTCTTTATGAAACTCCTTATCATCATTCTTATCACAAGAGATTACACAAAGCACTAAAAAATTCTGCTATTATCATCAAGAATATTATTAAAGATACTTATTTACATCTTTCTATATTACATCTTTCTATATGACATCTTTCCCTAATCTTGACCTCTTCATCTTCTTGTTCCTCAACCTGCTCATGTTGTTTACAGTATGTTTTGATTTTTTAATATGAAAAAAATTAATTTACAAAAATTAAAAATTAAAAAAATATTTTGAGGCATGAGGTAAAGTTGACAGGAGACCAGAGAGTGACATGATTCCTGATCTTAATATTGTTGATCTCTGTGTACCAGACGTTACTGCTGTGAGCAGCATGAGAAATAATATATTAGCAAGATGTGAGGTGACCTTTTCCTGCAGAGCTCTGTAACCTGATATGGCCTGTCAGATTAACCTCAAGATACACGGGTGCTTCTCCCCAAAATAAAGTCTCCTCCAGTGTTATCTTACTTTAATCACCTAAGAGCTCTTTTCCCATTTTTCCTATGGTATTTTAATTCGAACCTTTGCCATTGACATTTTTTCCTTTGTTTTCTTACCTAATTACTGGCATGTGCTTCTTGATGCTAAGAATGGCACTGTTTGCATCACTATCATTGCAAAAATATGAACACAAAAGCATTGGTTGAGTCAGTGAATTTGCTAATGGATACAAAAGCATTGACCACAGGAACTCTGCTTAGAGTTTGATTCTGGCTTGTTAAGAGCCATGTGTCTTTGGCATCTGGTGACTGCACATTGCCTGTGGGAAATTAACTGGAAATCCCAATGACTTTTACATTGGACTTCAGCTTCCGGCTTTTTGCATACTGGCATTGTTGTGAGGTTGACAGCTTGAGTCCACAAAGACATAGAAATGTGGGGATAGACTCCTTGCTGCTCCCAAGGATCTCCTCAA